GAAAAGGCATCTCAAATAGCCCTGCACTCCCCAAAAAGTCAAAAAGAGATCTCCTTAAACCCCCATTTAAACATCCCTTGACTCTGTGTCAGCTTGGCAGTAACAATAACCAGGGAAGTGACACGATGTTTGAAACCCACATTTTAGTCCCCTCCATGGTCTTTGGGGGGTATAGTAATGGGGAATGTTTGGCTATGGGTCCCAAAGCCTCCTAGACCATTAAATCCAAAAGTAATTAGGGAGGTGAGTGATCTGACATCATAAATAAATAGAAAAAAATGGATGCCCAAAAGTGAGGAAATAAACCAACTGTGAAAAATATTCAATGGGTTCATCCTCACAGGATTCTAGCGATGCCAGCAGCCAATTAGAACTTTTTATTTCCATTACTGACATTTCCACATTTCCAACATTAAACCATGCTGAAGGAAATACGGTGTTTGAATTGTCTGATAATGTATGTCCACTTTTGTCATTACAAGTCCTGGTTGAAAATATTTTTACAAAATGCTCAACGTATTTTCATGAAAACCCCCTTAATGTTAAATACACTCGCCATTGTTGTAGGGTATATTTTTATCCATACACACTTTGTAGCTCTATATGTCAGTTTTTTATTTTAAAAAGTCATAATGGCTTTATTCAGTTATTTGTGTTTTAATCTCAACTACATTTCTAAAACCAAAGCCTCAACTTTTTTTTTTAGTTTCATAAATCACATTTTTATTATTCAGCATTTTCATTATTCAGCATTTTTATTATTACAATAAAAGAGAAGCATTTTTACATTCAGTGCATATGAGTGAGTAGCAATTACAATAAAGACTGTACAGTTTTACATTAAATACATGTTATCTTCATTCACATTTTCAAATTTCAGTTGCTTTGAAGTTACGTTTACATTTGTTTGATGTTTTATCTAGAAAAATATGTTTTGGGGCCTTTTGGCTCATTGAGAGTAGGTTTAACGGTGTACTGTTATTTGGTTAACAGTTCAGAATTAAGTACCTCCCAGCACATGCACAAAGAAGGAAAAAATCTCACTCCCCAACTTCTGTTTTATTTATGGGGCCCTGTCAACTCTGTATGGGGAAGGTGTTATTATCCTAAATCTCCTTTGCTATAGTGGATGTGTGAGTCATAATGATTGGTGTGTGGTCCAACCATGTCAGCAGAATATCCAATCCAAATTTGCTGCAGAGTAGTTAAGGAGTATTGTATTGTGAGAGTAAGAAGTAATCAATGAAGGAATATGTCCCATGTAATGCTAAATAGAAAGTATAATCCCTCTCTCCAGGATGAGCCACCTTCTAACAATGAATCAATCTGTATGTGCTGAGCAATTTTTGTATCTGTTGTGTCGTGTGTAATGGTATAAAAGACTTGCCGGTTAAGGTATCTGTTGCTGGTTCTAAGGTTGTGTTGAAATCCCCTCCTATGATCAGGCAACCTTCTTGAAAGGCCAGAAGGATAGTGCGTAGATACTTTACCTGTTGTCAATTGGGTAAATATATATTTGTAAAGGTGTAGTGTTGAGTATGTGTCCCTTTAACGTAAATAAACCTGCCTTCCCCGTACGTATGGGTTGCAACAGGGGTGAAGGGGAAGATTGTATGCATTAGATTTGCTCTCAAAGTTGTTGCTAAAGAATCCTTGTGTGTATATATGGTTAGAGGGTTTTGGCACAAGCGATTCCTTCAAGTGTGTTTTCTAAATATGCCTCTTTCCCCTCCCTCCTCCTCTCCTATTCTCTAACCACGGACAGCGAAAATTATATATTATGTTACGCATGTTCTTTATTTGCATTGTGTCTAGCCAAATTATATATTGATTCAGACATTGCTGTATATAGGCAAGTGTAAGAAGGTACTAATAGCAAAACGTATCTGAGTACTGTTAAATGGAAAGATAACGGCATATTAGGCTCTGCTCTATGATCTCTATGCCTTGAAGCCCCATTATAAACATACTTGGTTAGATCAACAACCAACAGTGCAGCGCTTAAATTAATAAAGTGCATTAAGTGCAGAAATTAGGTTTTCATAAAATACCGCAATGAAACTTTGTAAAACTGTACATACAAGAGGTTTATACAGTTAAAAGACACAAAATAAACACAATAGTGCAAAAATGTTACATTTCAAGCAAGGCCTGTAACTTGGAGCTTATGTGATTTTTCTCACAGAGTGATCACATAGCTGTCCATACATTTGGCTGCAGGGACCTCCCTGGGCTGTCAGGTAGTCTCCCAGGTCCCAGCACTCATCTTTCAATTACTCTTGTGCAGTCTCCAGCCCACTATATTTTCCAAATAGAGAGCACTCTGGAGTCTTTGTGAAGTAAATTTACTCTTGCTTTATTCAGCGATGTAATTCTGGGCTGATTCCCGTATAGTTCTGGGCTGATTCCTCACTGTTCTCATGATCATTGGAACTCCACGAGGTGAGATCTTGCATAGGGCACCTAACCGAGGGAAACTGACAGTTATTTTGTGTTTCTTCCATTTGCGTATAATCGCACAAACTGTTGTCACCTTCTCACCAAGCTGCTTGGCCATGGTCTTGAAGCCCATTCCAGCCTTGTGTAGGTCTACAGTCTTGTCCCTGACATCCTTGGACAGCTCATGGTCATGGTGGAGAGTTTGGAATCTGATTGATTGTTTCTGTGGACAGGTGTCTTTTATACAGGTAACGAGCTGAGATTAGGAGCACTCCCTAATCTCAGCTCGTTACCTGTATATAAAAGACACCTGGGATCCAGAAATCTTGCTGATTGATAGGGGATCAAATACTTATTTCACTCATTGACATGCAAATCAATTTATAACTATTTTGACATGCGTTTTTCTGGATTTTGTTTTGTTATTCTTTCTCTCACTGTTAAAATACGCCTACCATTAAAATTATAGAGTGATCATTTCTTTGTTAGTGGGCAAACATTAAAAATCAGCAGGGGATCGAATACTTTTTTCCCTAACTGTACGACTCCAGTTACGTTATTAACCATGATGGCTCCCCTGCAATACATACCCTTAGTTAGTATGTTTTACTGGCTTATAGGGATTTAGGTGGCCAATAGAAGTTACATTTCTGGCTTCTTTTTCGAGGCCCACACCCCTCCTCCACGCAGAGGTAATATGTCCCTCGGGCCAACACATAGTTAGCTGCCTCGCATAGTTGCACTTGTCACGCCCAATCTGTCTTATGCTTTAAATGTCATCGACAGGCCAACACCCCGCCACAACGTTCGGTGGCCACGAAATCCCCTCGCGTTAACGCATAGATAAAGCCTCCCGAACCGCTTGGCAGCTAACAGGGCCTCACCAACTTACTGAATTGCTTTGCCACTTGGCACTAGCTAGCCAGCCAGTAAAACAGATACAAGCTAATTATTGCTAAATTTCCAGTATGTCTTAGAATCCAGAAGAAGGTGAAATGTCACTTCCCAGCACTCCAGCCAGGTCCACTACACCTGCACGTAGAGGTGATATCAATAGCCCTGCTTCCATCAGGTCATGGACCATTCCACGTATAACAGCAGAACTACGCAGGTGTAACATTTCTTTCCCAGCAACAGCTAGGAAAGAAGAGCTATTCAGACTCATGCGTACTACTACTGATAATTCCGATGCCGGTTAGGGCACAAGTAGCTCAAACAACTCTGAGCTCCATGCAATGAGATCATCACTCGTGTCCTCTATGGGAAAGATTAATGAAAGACTGTAAAGTCTAGAATCACGTAGTCTTGCACATGGTGCCAGCGAATCTCAAGAAAGATATCCTGGAAGGCAAAGACGTCTCACTTTTGATTGCCTCCCAGGATATTGTTGAGAATTGTACCTATACATAAGGTGATATATCTGTTGTACTAAAGGCCAGGGATCCGAGATTAAGTAAGAAACTGTCTATCCCGGATTTCATATTGGCATTCAGGATATACAGGGACGTCCTATGTTCAGTTTACACGCACAGGAGAGAGGAGCTGAATCTCTACATGCACAAGCTGGTGGACTTAGGATAAAAATAATAAATATGGTGGTACAGCATTTTATGACTACCACCGGTCCTTCTCAGCTAAGGCGTCTTTTATTTATAATTCTTTATTTTTATAGTGCATATGATATAACAGCGTGCATGGGGTACCCCAACGGCATTCCTCATGCTTTTCATAAATTTATAACAGTAATGGGTATGTTCTTGCGTGCACAATTTTATGTTAAATATACAGTTTAGTAAGCTTATTCTCAATGTATTGTCTATTATATATAATGCCACGACAAACATTCATAGACCAGATAGATGGGTATAACAGGAGTATGACTGCTTAGGTATGAACCATACGTTAAGGTACATGCTAGTTAAGTCACTACTGTGGTTGCTTATTTAGTTGCTGTTCGGTGATATGTCATTTGTTAAACTTAAAATATTAGTTGTCTAGTGGCATTCTGAGGAGATAGGAGTAGTTTTGTAGACTCCTGGGGTCGAGCTAACTGCTCTGAGGATATATAGTTAAGCAGTTGCTGTGATTTTGCGCTAGTGGGGATGCCTTAGAGTCTGCCTCTGGATTAACGTTTCACAAAATAATAATTAAGATAACGCTTAATAACAATGCAAACGAAATGATAAGTAAAATAACGCCATGGGGGCCAGTGGGCATAGAGACTATTAAATACGTATCATGAGTATTAACCACACATGCTATTGAATATTTGCACATAACATTACAGTCTCGTAGCTGGTCTGCTGTGGCGTGCTACTTGGAATTTACCCCTCGCGGATCAGTCTCAGGGACAGACTCAGCCTATGCCAGCAGGGGACACGACACAGTCTCTGAGTGCAGGGGCCCACTGCCTGACATCGCCTATGCTCTGGTAGGTTGGGGTTCGTGACTTGTGTGTCGCACTGTTCAGCTTTTTAGGTCGTGGTTGTGGTCCTGCTTGAGTGCGCTTGGGTGATGTCTTCGGCGCCATTTTGAGGCTCGGCACTGATCTTCTTAGGTGCTTAGGTGGAGAGCTTTTGGGTAAGTAGGCTTCTTTGTGTGGTAGAGAGGGCTGGAGCAAAAGGCGTGTTAATTTCTGCCAGAAGTCGGAGAAATGTCCCTCTATTTTGGAGAGGATGTCGCTGTGTGCTTTGTCGGCAATAGGGATCCCATGTGGACAGTGCTGTATCTCGCTTGCGGGATCTGCTCCCCACTGCATCTTGAGGGTAAATCGTTTTTTGGGTGTCTGTAGCCTGTGTTGTAATGTGCACTCTGGCCTGCTGTGCCTCCGACCCTTCCTTCCGCTTCGGGCCTGCCACGGTTTTGGAGCCGCGGTCTTGCGTTGCGTCTGGAGGGGTAGGCATCTTGTCTTGATGTCGCAGTGAGTGCTTGTTGTTTGTGGTGGCGGGCATCGGGCTATCTTGTGCCTGAATGCCACCTTGCTTGCTGCAGTGAGGGCTTTCTTTCCCTCTGGCTTTGGTTCTCCTGGCATCCGCCATTTTGATTGATGCGCTTGGGCCACATCGCAGGTTGGTAATGTCGATAGGCTCGGGTTTTGTCTCCGCGGTCTGAGCCCCAGGGTGTGGACCGGGATCACCCCCACCGGTCCAGAGGGGGGGGAACAGGGTCCGGTCCGCTTGGGTTCGGGCCTCTGGTAGGGTTCCGGTTGGCAGGATAGTGGAGCAGCGGCCGTCCACCCCACTCACTGCCGGAGTAGGCCCCAGTTGGGATACCGATGACCTCTCCTCCAGGGGACTGTAGCTCGAGGAGCCAGCCTCACCCTGGTTTCGGATACTCCTGTGCATTGAGGATTGTTGCTGGAGGTCGCGTTTGAAGCGAAAAAATCTTGGTTTTAAGGCTTTAGGTTTGGAAACTTGCAGGAGCTGAGTATGCATGCGACCATCCAGCTCAGCGGTTCGGCCCCGCCCCCCAGCTAAGGCGTCTTTTTTGCCCAGTTTAATGTTAAAACAGATTGGAGTCAACTGGATACAGAGCTTTTCTGCAAACACTTCACTGGACTGAGGACATCAGCATGTGCAATTTGCGCATCCACTTCACACTCAGCCAACCTATGTCCAATCTCACCTGAACGACCTGGCCACCCCAAGCACCAAAGCAAAGAATGACAAACCAGTCAAAGATAAACTAGGATGTCCAATTGTGCACTTGGGGAAATCACAAATATGTAACAATTTCAACGAAGGTACCTGTGGATATAGTGCTTGTCTCTTGCTACATGTTTGTTCTCATTGCTAAACAGCACATGCAAAAACAATGTGCCCCCAGGCAGTAGGATCGTTCAAACCCAACAAAAGCCCAGGACCTGTTGGATATACTGCCCTGTACTACAAAGAATTTAGCCCCTTACTCCTCACACACCTCTGCGCAGTCTTCAATGCCGCACTCAGAGGGGAAAAGCTCACATCAGACTACACTAATGCAAACATCTGCCTTCTCCCCAAACCCGGAAAAGACCACACAGACCCCGCTCTATACAGACCTATCTCGCTGCTCAATGTAGACCTCAAAATCATGACTAAAGTCATGGCTAACAGACTGAACCCCCACCTGGGCTCCCTCATCCACCCAGACCAGGTGGGATTCATCCCCCAAAGGCAAGCAGCAGACAACACACGGAGGGCCATAGACCTCATTTGGCTGGCCAACCATAAACACATCCCTACGGCCATTATATCGCTAAACGCAGAAAAGGCCTTCAACCGCCTGTTATGGCCATTTCTACACCGAACCCTATCACACATAGGACTACCCAACGAATTTACCTCGTTCTTACAAGCGACATACCACTCACCTACAGGCGCACTCCTCCTATCAAACATAGTCCCACCGCAGTTCCCCATATCAAACGGCACACGGCAGGGATGCCCATTATCACCACTACTATTCGCCCTTTCATTAGAACCTCTGCTGCAGGCGGTGCGCTCCAGCCGGGAGGTAGAAGGAATCACAGTACGAGGAGAAACATTTAAAATCTCGGCATATGCCGATGACATACTCCTGACCCTAACCAACCCGGAAAGCTCACTTATCCCACTTCTTACCATCATATGCGAATACTCTGAAATCTCGGGGTATAAGATCAACCTAACTAAATCTGAGCTCTTAACGATACAAATACAAACCCAGAACTTAACCAGGATAACACACAGTCCCCCTGCGAATCTGCCACACAGAAATAGGATACCTAGGTATTAAACTACCGGCAGACACGACCACCTTATACGCAAGAAACTACACTCCCCTACTTAGAAAAGCCCATGAGGACCTAATAAAGTGAGGACCCTTAGGAATCTCCTGGCTGGGACGCATCGCCTCCATCGCCTGTATCTTTTACCAAACACTCCCAATCCCTATCCACAAACAAGATTTCAAAACCTTACAATCAGCTTTAGACAAATTTGTCTGGAATGACCACAAACCAAGAATACGCAGGGGCACTCTGTATGTACCCAGGAAATGTGGAGGCCTAGGACTAACTAATCTCGTACATTATCACTCAGCAACACACTTAGCACAGATACAACAATGGCATGTCCCACCAGGGGAAAAACACCTGATATTCGGCTGGGATCACCCGTCCCTTTACATGTGGACACCTAAACCACACAGGTCCTTACCCCCCACGACCTCACCTGCGATCACACGCACACACTCGATCTCTGAGACAAATTTGAGCTATCTTCTTACCTCTCCCCCATGACCCCAATCTGGAGGAACAAACTATTCCCACCAGGACTCACCCCAAAACATTTTGCCCACTTCGAACAACGAGACATATCACGATTGGGACACCTCTACCAAAATGATACCATCATCCAGTTCTCAGAAATTAAAGACGCATCCTCACTCACAACCTTTGATTACTTTAGATATATACAACTACGCAGCTTCGCAGCAACCCCGATTATACGACAAGCCGGCACAGCCCCACTCACTCGCTTTGTGACTGCACAAAGCAGCCTAATAGACAAGGGCAAATCTCTGACATGTACTTGACAATAGCCAACCACCACTGCGACCGGGTATGTACGCCAGTGTGGCCAGCCTCTTCTCTTGGGGGGCCCAGGAGCCACCTCAGGGCCCACGAGTCTGGTACTGGTGTCACCGGGTTGGCGGGCGGGCGCGAGAGGGTGCACTCTCCCCTGAGCGCTCTCTGCCCAGCATCCTTGCGCGCACCGCACTGATGCCAGGAGCCGGAATATGACGTCATATTATGGCTCCGGCATCAGTAAGCGGTGCGTGAGAGAGCTGGGCAGAGAGCGCTCAGGGGAGAGTGCTCCCTCACGCGTCCGCAGGACCGGCCACTGGGCAGCCCCACTGGACCCCAGGGAATCCCGTCAGCATGTGATGGGGGATCACATTTTTTTTTAAAAGTGTGTGTGTATGTGTGTTAGTTTTAGAGTGTGTCTGTTAGTGTTGGTTTGTGTGTCAGTGTGTGTGTTACTGTGTGTCTGCTAGTGAGTGTGTTAGTTTTCATCTGTGTGTGTTACTGTGTGTGTCTGTTATTGAGTGTCAGTGTGTGTTAGTTTGTGTGTCAGTTAGTGTATGTGTGTGTCAGTGAGTGTGTTAGTTTGTGTGTGTCTGTTAGTGAGTGTGTGTTTGTCAGTGAGAGTATGTTTTGTAAGTGAGTGTGTATGTATGTCTGTCTGGTTTTTTTTAGTAAATGTGTGTGTCTGTTAGCTAGTGTGTATGCGTCTGTTTGTGAGAGTGTGTGTTTGTTTAAAACCCCTTCAGTACTTGCCTTTCTCCCTTGGCGCTGGGCATCCCTCCGCCCCGATCCGCCTCTCAGCTCCGAATGCGCATGCGGGGCAAGAGCCGCACGCGTATTCAAACCGACTGTGGCAAAACCGACCTCGCCACTGGGCATTGGAGAAGACTGATTGCCAGCCTCCTGCCATGTGACTATGGCCCCTGGGATGTATTGCCCTTTAAAGACATGATTTGGGCATAAGGGATTTGTGTTGTGCTGCTGCTGGCCCTTTCAGAACCATCTGGGGACATACTGTGGAGTTACTGGGTGGCCACCATTTCCTGTATCAGAGGCACATGGTGAGAACAATGGATGAAGCACATGGTGAGAACAATGGATGGCGGCCATTTTAACTCACAGACACTGTTTGGACTTTTCAATACGGTGCCATCTCGCCAGTGTTTGGTGCACAGAGACATTGTGCAGTGCTTTTGGACTATACAGCCTGTATATGTTCTGCAGAATCTGCATTAAACTCTATCTTCCAAAGTACTGAATGGATCTGGGTTTTATGGGGTTATTGCGTGTTTTGGAGTCCCTGTGATGTGTTTTATGAAACTGTATTTCTCTGTCTGTGATAATTAAATTACCCATTGTGTAAGGTAATTGTATTACAGGCAGAGGGGAGGATTTTGTGTGGGAGTGTCTGTGTGTATTGTACAGATTGATTGGTTGTTCTGTAAAACCCTGTGGGCAGTACTAAGTTTGTGGATTGGGAATAAAAGAGGCTGTATGTGCCAGTACAGTTAGTTCCTGTTTTAACCCTCAAAGTGAAGTGTCGTCTCATTATTGGGGGAAGGATTTATTGTATGCTGTGCCAGGTTGACTGCTAGGAGAGTAAACCTATTCGTATGGTTTCCTATTCAACTGTCTACAGCATTCATATGCTTGGGAGAATTTATTTGTTTCTCCGGTTCGGTGATTGTGGTGTCTGCCAGAGTGCTTGGAGTCCTCTGGAAGCGCTAGGAGCATCCTTCAATGGAGGTACCCAGTCGGGGTGCCAGGCGATCCGTTACACCGACCATAGGAAAGCATTACTCAATGCTTTCCTATGGACGTCCAGCGTCTTCTCACTGTGATTTTCACAGTGAGAATCGAGGGAGCGCCTCTAGCGGCTGTCAGTGAGACGGCCACTAGACGCTGGATTAACTCTCAGTGAAACATAGCAGTTTCACTGAAACTGCTATGCGACCCCTGCAACCAGATGCCCACCACCATGTGTTGCGGCCCCGGCCCACACAAAGTAAGGGCGGTGGGGGGACGACGACTACGGATCAATTTTCGCACCGGGGCCCCAATGGGTCGTGTGTACGCCACTGGCTGCAGCATTAATTAACACCCAGCACTCACAAGCAACCAAGCCCTGCAGAATCTTCTAAGCAGAGACTGGGCCCCTAAAAACAGCATTAATTAACACCCAGCACTCACAAGCAACCAAGTAGAGGTATCATCTCTGGAAGATCTATTCAAGAATTCCTGTACTACTTATTGTTTCCTTTTAATTCTTAATTTAAAATTGTGTTCTATTTCACCTCCCTCCCTATACTCTAACTACTTAATTGATAAGTATTATATCTCCCATCCTGATCTTTTGTTTTTTTAAAGTTGGTATGGTCATGTCATTAAGTGTTCTTGCATAGCAAGACCACTTATTGTTATCTCACATATATATTCTTATTCTTATTAAGTGTTCTTGCATAGCAAGACCACTTATTGTTATCTCACATA